CACTTAAGCATTAATGTACATTCATTTAGCACTCCGTGCAAAACAACATTTCCAATGAAAGAATACCTTTGAAAAATTAATTTGACCATTCCTTTTGGTTTTGGCAGTGCTGTATTGTTATTTCAAACTAATATTTTGATTAAGAGAAACACATTTTCCAGTCAAATGAGTGGAGTATTGTGAAATGTCTTTGAGAAATATTTGAACCCTAACCTAGCAAAACCCAAAGCTAGGGTTAGGGTTTTATTCCCATTGAATGTAGACAGTTTTTGATGGCATGGCTGTGTTTTTGGGCTGAAAGGATACATAGGAAAATAGTTATTTAAATGTTTTCTAAACATTTTTTTCTGACCTATATGGCTGTATACAGTGCTTTGCCCCAAAAGGGAGTAGTGTCTGAATTGCCCTACAAGCAACAGTTTGAAAGAACCTGATTTAACGTTCAAACTCTTGCCATGGGCTTTGAAATCACAGGGATATTAACAAATGAAGCCAAAATGTTTTAGTTGTTTTGGACTTTTAGGCCACTTAAGCCTTAACGTACATTTATTTAGCACTCCGTGCAAAGCAACATTTCCAATAAAAGAATACCTTTGAAAAATTAATTTGACTATTCCTTTTTGTTTTGGCAGTGCTGCATTGTCATTTCAGACTAATATTTTGATTCAGAGAAGCACATTTTTCAGTCAAATGAGTGGAATGTCGTGAAACGTCTTTGAGAAATATTTGAACCCTAACCTAGCAAAACCTGAAGCTAGGGTTCGGGTTTTATTTCCATAGAGTGTAGACAGTTTTTGATGGCATAGCTATGTTTTAGGGCTGAAAGGATACTTAGGAATATAGTTCTTTCAATGTTTTGTAATCATTTGTTTCTGACCTATATGGCTGTATACAGTGGTTTGCCCCAAAAGGGAATGGTGTCTGAATTGCCCTACAAGCAACAGTTTGAAAGAACCTGATTTAACTTTCAAACTCTTGCCAGAGGCTTTGAAATCACAAGCATATTAACAACTATGTTAATAGTTGCCAAAATGTATTAGTTGTTTTGGACTTTTAGGCCACTTAAGCCTTAACGTACATTCATTATGCACTCCGTGCAACAAAACATTTCCAATGAAAGAATACCTTTCAAAAATTAATTTGACCATTCCTGATTCACTCTTTTGGTTTTGGCAGTGTTGTATTGTCATTTCAAACTAATATTTTGATTCAGAAAAGCACATTTTCCAGTCAAATGAGTGGAATATTGTGAAACGTCTTTGAGAAATATTTGAACCCTAACCTGGCAAAACCTAAAACTAGGGTTAGGGTTTTATTCCCATTGAATGTAGACAGTTTTTGATGACATGGCTGTGTTTTTGGGCTGAAAGGATACTTAGGAATATAGTTCTTTCAATGTTTTCTAAACATTTTTTTCTGACCTATATTGCTGTATACAGTGCTTTTCCCCAAAAAGGAATGGTGTCTGAATTGCCCTACAAGCAACAGTTCAAAAGAACCTGATTTAACTATCAAACTCTTGCCATGGGCTTTGAAATCACAGGGATATTAACAAATGAAGCAAAAATGTATTAGTTGTATTGGACTTTTAGGCCACTTAAGCCTTAACGTACATTCATTTAGCACATTGTGCAACACAACATTTCGAATGAAAGTATACCTTTCAAAAATTAATTTGACCATTCCTGATTCACTCTTTTGGTTTTGACAGTGTTGTATTGTCATTTCAGACTAATATTTTGATTCAGTTTTTTCCTCGCGTCGCAAACCGCACAGCACAGCCTGGCACCTAGCCAGAAAGCGCGGATTGGACAGCAACAAGCCGGCAACTGCTTCTTTGAGTCCGCAGGAGATCTGAATCCCCAGAGATTGGATGAGTATTCAACTTCAATGCATTACAGCTCGAGAATTCAATTGTTATCCCAACCAGTTGATATCAATTTAATTCCTAAGAGTTATGTACTTGTTTTGAGTATCTAATGTAGAAGTTATAACCAAGTTCATTTACGAAACGGTCTAAATGAATGATACACTGAACGTATGTCCTCTTGATATATGTAACTCTTTGTAACTGACTGAATATATACCTTTTGTATTCTGATAACCCTCTCCATAAGATCTGTTAGGTTTATATGCATATTCTATGTATTAATAAATGTATCCTCATGTATTAGTACCTGTGTGTGTGCGTTGTTTGAGTTATATCGCATGGTTGGATTCTAAGGCCATCAAAAGAATCATTTTGTGATTTACTGCTACAATTAATAATTGTCCCAGTAAATGCCCAAACCCTACAGAACTGGTGCCTTCAGAGAGCACACTACACTTGCAAAATCTGAAGCTAGGGTTAGGGTTTTATTCTCATTGAATGTAGACAGTTTTTGATGGCATGGCTGTGTTTTAGGGCTGAAAGGTTACTTAGGAATATAGTTCTTTCAATGTTTTCTAAACATTTTTTTTTTACCTATTTTGACCTATATGGCTGTATACAGTGCTTTGCCCCAAAAAGAAATGGTGTCTGAATTGCCCTACAAGCAACAGTTCGAAAGAACCTGATTTAATGTGAAAATATTCTTCATTTTCCCGTTTCACGAAACCAATCATTTCTGAAGTGTTGTGTTTTTTTAAAACTGCATACATGCCCACAGTACTGATAACTGAATTTATTTATAAGAAACCAATGTCACATAGAGAGCCAGAGCTATGTGGTGTTTTTGGCAGGGAGCAGTCGGACGGCGTCCCTTTCCAATCCTTTCTAACAAGAAGGGTCATTATAAAGCTGTTGAAGCTGATGGAATCCATCAAGATGTGAATGAGAGAGATTCTGGGATCAAAATGCGCACAAAGGATCAAACAACTAGCACTGTTTTTTCTCTCCTTGTACATTATCCTAACAAAATATTTGAAAGTGACATGTCCATAGGAGTGTCATATCCTATCCAAAGAATTAGCAATGGCCCAGTATACAGCATGTACCATGACTCCCGAGGACTGTAAAATAGAAGCTGATCAGGTTCTTTTTCTAAATTTATTGTGCAATGCAAAAAAAAAAAGAGGTGGATATAAGTGACCTTATAAGAAGCTTAACTGGTGGTGCATGTGTCACAGAAAGCCAACAGCTGAAGAAGAGGCAGGTTTATGGGCTGTGATTAATTCAGTTTGCATTTTGCGTCCAGGATTGTGTCAATGTGTGGGTGTCCGCTGTACGCCTGTGTCTATTTCCTCCCCCAACTCCAACGTATTCAAATGCAGACAATGGGGCAGAAAACAATTAGGGAGGATTGAAAATCACAAGGTTTGAAGAACATACTGGTTACCCAAACCTAAGGCAATTACCACAGCTAAGATATTGGCACTTGAAGGCGTGTGGCGTGGATTTTCTAGTTTGGACAAGACCTTGGGAAGAGGGGTGGGGAGCAATAAAGAAAAAGAAGAAATGAAAGGGCCCCTTGACACCTGGAAAATTTTTGGGGATTCCTAACGTTTTAGCGAGTGAGTGCATATTCTCATTAAAGACAAGAAAATACACAAGTTGTGTGAAAGAGAGAGGAAGATAGTGGGATTAATGGTGGATCCAGCATGGCAAGAGAGGATTTGTTTATTGCAAGGGAACTGCGGCAGGCAAAGACCCGACTTCATTAAACTGCTGCTTCACAGTGGAGGACAAAGAGGAATTTGGTGTGCGTCTATGGGAGAAGGCAAAGACAAATCAGGGGACAATCAAGTTTCTATATATACAGAAGTGCAGTAAGAAAATAATATTGTTTTTATCAGTGTCACGTTGAGCTTTAGGGCACGGTCCTCTGGTAGTGCTGGATGAGCCTGTCTGCCTCTCTGTCGCCTGACAGCAGGGCCCCCTGTACTGTGCCATACAAGTTCTTCATAGTGCTTTCTCCCACAAACAGCACCTGCAGCGCCTGGAACCAAAAGTTTAAGAATAGCTTCAGTCAAAAGGAAATCACCTTCATGTCAAAGATGGAGGAAGATTTTTTATGTTCCTAGAAAATAAATTCCAGAGAGACTGTGATGAGCAGTGTGTTTCACAGCCACTGATATGTTAGGAATGCTTCAGTGTGACCATTAAAAGTTAACCAAACTGGTAAAGCCCTCACCTCAGGATGGCCATTCTCCAGATGGGACTTTGGCACATAAAAAACTCTTGCTAAAAGTGAAAGTGACAGGAGGTCCAAGATATTGTAGATCTTAATGTTTATTACATTCCCAGCCTGCTCTGTATATTTATTATACACATTATCCTGTCTGTTTTAACTATATAGAGTTTACTGCCACCAAGATACACTTAGTCTACTGAAATTTTGCTTCCTGGTCTACTGGCACTCAACTCTAAACACTTTATATTTTGCTGCACTGTCCTTTGTTCCCTGCTACTTTCCTCTCTCTCCCTTAGACCTAAAGAAGGCTTAACAGCCAAACTGGTGTGTCTTCTCTTGACTGTGTTCACCACAAAATTAATCTTTACTGTGAAGCCTTCTTCAGGTGTGTTCACGTTGTGTTTTCTCTCTTCTCTTTTCAGCATGGAATAAACCTATTACTTGTTCCTTTGCAGACTACGCATGCTGACACAGCTACCCACCTGAACTACTTCAATCTGACATACTGTACATCTATACACGGTCATGTCCTGTTGGTGGTATTCTCAGGCCCTGAATGAATGAGAAATGTTCTGTTTCCCAGCCATTCCCATTTATTACTTATTTGCTTCCACCTGGACAAAGACTTTACCTAGATAAGCTCTCATTTGTTCTAATGGAATGCCTAAATCTAAATCTAGAGATGCACAGACATGCAAACAAGGACCAGTTTTCCCACAAGCCAATGAACCTACCAGTCTGTCTTCGGACGCATGGGGAAATGGGGAGAATTATACAAACTGCACTGAGTTAGGACCCCAGGTATGGTGATAGGACCCAGGGGACCCAGAACTTCAAGGCAGCAATGCTAACCTGTGACAATCTCCCTAATTAAACCCACATGCAAATTCAACATTTCAAACAATTAGCAAACATTCAAGTAACTACAACAGGTGAACTATTTAGATGGTCTTTGAGCTGCTGCTTTGCTGGCTCCACTGACATTACAGTCCCCTTTAACAGTGTGGCATTACACAGGGGTATTACGCAGTGTGGAGGCGAAGCCCTGGTAGAAGGACACCGCTTCGTCTTCATAGTCACAGCTGTCCTGGCTTCTAGATGAGCCATAGCTCTCAAGATCCTATAGAAGCACACTGGACACCCCCCAAAGGGACAAGTAGGGACACCCCGGAAGGGGGAGTTTTACACCAACAGTCCCAGGGAGGATTGCATCCACGTTAGGTGTTATTTTTCTTTACTTTTTACCTGTCCCATCACATATTTCCACCAGGGCAGGTACACATACACCTTTTTCTCACACTAAGTTTTTGTTTTGTTTTTGCCTTAGTCGCCCTGTTCTACCAAACTGGACCCCGCTAAACAGGGTAAGCCCTATTTTATATCTTCACTCTTTTTGTATGATTTTTGGTCCCTGCTAACCTCACACCAGTGCTTCAATCCCCTCACCTGGGACATTGACTTTGCATTGACATTGCAGGCCCCTTCTACTCCATACAGTCACAACAGGAACAATCCACCACAATGTTGTGATGTAAGGACTAGCAGATAAATTCTGAAATGACTTCTATTGCAAACCAAAGGACAAGAGAAAAGCCCTAGGCAGCACAAAGATGAGGAAACTGCTTTGTCTACAACACTGGTAAACATTCTTTCATTCATAACCCTTGAGAGCTACAGTGGGTGTAGAAAGTCTTGACCTCCCTTGGATTGCACAACATTTTGGTGTGTTACAACCTCAAATTGCAACACTTCTGCAAATAATTATTTTTGTACTATTAGCAAAAAAATACTAACATTTTAATGGGGGATAATATTTTTTATTGTAAGAAACTATTTTATGAAAAATAGAAAACTGAAAAATCTAGCTTTATACAAGTTTTCACTCCCCCGAGACCTTCAACATTTTAATACTGATTTGCTCCCACTTTTGCAGCAATTACAGCCTCAAGTTTTTTATGGGGAGTTGTAACCAGCTTTTCACATCTTGCGTGATTCATTTTTGCATAATTGCAGGTTACTCAGAGAATGGTGGTGTACAGCAATATTCAGTTCCTGCCACAGAATTTTCTTTACATCTGGACTTTTACTGGGCCTTTCAAGGACTTCAACCTTCTTCTTTTTGAAAATAAAAAAAAAAATGAAAAGTAACCCTACAACATTAAGCCACTCAAGGACTATAATGTCTTTGGATTTAGGGTTATTGTCCTGTTGAATTATGAATCTGAATTTCTGTGTCTCAGAAAGATCTTTTGCAGATGGTTCCAGGTTGTGCTTCAGGATCTGCCTTTTTTTTTTGCTTCATTCATTCTGCCCTCTATTTTGACAAGCATACCATTCCTTGAACTTGAACTTGGACTTTATTGCCATATGTAACCGGTACTGGTACAATTTAATTCTTACTCACAGAAAGTCTCTCGATTGTAGTACAAGTGTAAAAAACAAGACAAAGTGTTTTTGTCTAGTCCCCACCACATTATGCTGCCATCACCATGCTTATGTGGAGATCGTGTGTTTTGAGTAATGAGCAATTCTCTTCTTTCACCAGACATAAATCTTGGCATTATGGCCAAATAACAGAAATTTTGTCATTAGATGACAATTTTGTTCTGTATTGTTTCCAGAGGCTCCTATGTGCTTTTTTCAAAGATAGCTTCCTCCTAACCACTACCAGACAGCCCAGATTTGTTAATTACTTGAACCACTGTTGACTCACTCAAAGTTTCTCCAAACTCAGTTATGAGACATTGTTTTTTAGGGTTGTTTTGGGCCCCTTGTCTAATTTGTATGCAATGTCCAACAGTGAGAACGCACACAGACAGGTATATCTATCCTTACAGGTCTAAATGCAGTTAAAGAGAGGTCTGTTCCATCTGAATAGTTAACAACTTTAATTGCAAACAGGAGAATTCCAATTAACATACTCTGCAAATTCTGAAAACAACTGGTTGAGTCAGAGCTTATTATGGAGCGTTAATGCTAAAGGAGAGAAACATTTTCAAAATACTTTCTACATCCACTGTACGTTGGTTAGACCCTGAATCGGACATAAGCAAAGAAACCATGGGCTGCCATAGAGGCACCACTGAAGGGGGCATCAGTTGTCACACCCACCTGGCCAGCAGTCTCCCTGCCTGGCAGAGGCAGTGCCAGTTTGTCCATCAGCTTGCCATCTACTCCTACAGGCAGGTAGGTGTAGGCACCACGAATGAAGGAGTTACTGTTCCACTTAGTGCATAAAATTCTCCTGGGGGGAGGTAGATCAAGCTTTCCTGAAAGGAGAAATAATAGCAATAATAATAATTGTTATGTTTCTGCTGCCGTTGATAAGAAATTTAACTGTCAACAGTAATGCTGTTGTGTTTTAAAGGAAATGTCTCCTCACTCTTTTTTATATTTTGGGGTTAGAAAGAATCAGCATTGATAAGTACATTTCAAACCACAATAAAAGTAAAATGCACAAAGCAATGTGTAAAACCTCTAATTTACACCACACAAGAAACATAATTTCCAGGTATGCACAGTGCCATATTCTGCAATTCAGAATGAGGCCACAAGATTTTTGGTGATGTGTGTGGCCCTATGACATTATAAACAAGCAAGCTTGTGAATACGTGTATTGTAATCCAATATAAATATTTCTCTTGATTTTGAGATGGTTTTGCCAACAAATACTTACTTGTTAACTGCATGCAGATCACATTGGAACATTTCTGTAGTGAAATGTCTGTTGCACAACCTGTACTTATTCGCTTTTACATCACATTACTCTAGTGATTACAGTGGCTAGTGAGCAGGAAGGGCCGCATCACAGTGCAATTCTCTCTCTTGCCTGTGGTGAGACCAGGGGTTTGTGTTGACATAAGAGTACTTTCACAAACCTCATGATTTTGTGGTTAATTTGAAATTTGTCTTTTTTTCTGTAATATCAATGAATTTAATTTGTTACTAAGATTTAATAACCAGTTTGAGAAATTGGGACTGCAGTTCCCCTTTAAGTACACATGTGGAAGTTATGTGGAAATGCATTTGTTTATACAAAGGGCAATGGAACAAAAATGTTGTTGAAACAGATTCTCTGGGGTCCTTCAAGAAATCACTTTCGAGATCTAAGCATCAAGCTACTTACAACCACATTAATAGGATGAACTGCAGGCTTTCTCTTCATTGCAACTTTTCTTATGTTCTGCAGTTCAGAATATTATATTTCCAAACCTTCTGTCAGCAGGAGTGTTAGCATTAGCAGCAGCAGTGGCAATCATAGCTATAGTTGCAATAAAAATGTTACCAGTGAATTTCCGAAGTTGTTCAGTGATTGCCACCGAGAGCTCCTCCTCAGTCTTTTCCTCTATCTGCTCAGCCACTCGTCCAGAAGCCCACAGAATCAGGACATTCCCAAACCTGGCCAAGCACAAACACATTCATACATCCTGGAGTTAAGTGCAGTTTAATGACAGAACCAGCCATTGACAGCTACACACTGACCATCCCTTTACGGTTAACTGAAAACTGCCTTAAAAAATCCCTGACGTGCACTGATCACAAGCTGCATAGAAAATGGAAAATATAAAGTCTAATGCAAGCTAGCAGGGACAAGCAACAAAGTGATAAAGCCAGTACAATGTGCTTGGTTTCTTTTTCTTAATATAACTTGAACACAGAACGTTGTCACCTGGTAAATGAGAAGAGAAAATGGCAATGCTGTACACTTAGCAAACAAAGGATGAAGCAGTACTTTGCCCCGACGGTTGTGAGAACGTGGAACAAGCTATTCAGCAACAGCGGCCATACTCTCATCCCCTGTTTTGTTTACAAAAATGGTTAATGACATACTTCAACCAATTAGTTGCTTACTTCCAAACAGCTAAAACGGCTGAAACAGGTAAAGTGGCCTCCTCTCATCGTGACATTTTTATATTCTTAAAAATTCCCCATTTTTAGCAGCTTCAACTCCCCGTGCTTATTTCCCCGGGTTATGAAATTATAAAATGGCAACAATATCATAGCATCTAATAGGAGTAAATGTTGCTGGAACATTTCCTTTTGAGATAATAGTAGCCATACTGCCTGCTGCCTACCTCTCTTGTGGAAGCATGACTGTAAAGTTGTGGAGAAACCTCAGCCAGGCATTAGGATCAGAATCAGTGAACTGAAAGGAGGGGGTCTCATCCTCCCAGAGTAGGCTAATCTCGTTCACGCCACTCTCCCAGAAAGCCTCCTCGTACTCCAGAAATACTTTGTTCATGGTCCCAAACTTGAGTTTCTCAATAGCCTGAATCTTGTCATCAGGGAGTTGGGGAGAAAAGAGGGAGGAGGCTATTGATTTCAAACAACCTAAAGCAAGAAAAAAAACACACAAAAGGATATTACTCTTTAGATAGCTTTGTGAGAAACAGCCTTCAGAAAACACTGTGCATTCCATGCCTGCATGTGGGACAGAATTTGTATTACTGTCCATATGGGGACATAACTGAATTGTAGAAAAAGTTATCACAAAAAATAGTCACTCGTGACAAGCAGACAATTGTCCTCAAAATGTAAAGATTTTTTTTTTATCAACCAAATGATGATTGCAAGGAAACAAAAAGTGTCAGAATTCTATGTTTCAGGTCTACTTCCATGCCTTTGTGTTTTAATTCAGTGGAGGAGACATAGTCACGTTTCCTTTTATCACATTTTAATAAAGAATAATAAAGAAAAGGCAATACGATATACAGAAGGACTTATAAAGCAGGGTGAAAACAACATCTCTGTTAATGAAGCTTTTTAATACAGCATCAGGGAATGCATCAATTTTATGAGAGTACGTTTATAAAACATTGTGATTACTTTCCGGGCTTCCTAAAAAAGTCTGCTATGCCGAATGCATTTCTTTTGTATTGTTATACAGTATGTCAAACTAACAATAGTGTTGTTTTTCTCTTATAATGGTGTAGCAAAAGCTAAGTGGATCATGAATAGTATTACATTCTGTGTTGCACCACAAATGCTAAGATTGTACAAAGTTTAAATAATGTTGTATTTATCAAAGCAATCCCTAGATTAACTACACAACAACTAAAGATATGTAACTCTTGTTCTACAGAGTTCTGCATATATTCATAGGCGCCTTTAAGCATTTGTAAGGTAAGACCAAGACAATATTCTGAAAATGAAGCAAAATATTTGAAGTCACTCATATCTCAGTTTGAACAAAACAGGAAGACCCCTATGCTTCTGAATAGCATAGCTGCAAAACTCTCCTCATAACTTTGCCATATAAGCTGTATGATAGAGCACAATACAGATTTGCAGTTTGGTGATTACTCATCCTGCAGCTGGTTAAGTTTGCTGTTTCTTCGGCATATCATGCACATCATTTCCCACTCCTCAGAGCAACTGACATCTTATTACTAGGAAGCAGTGCTTCTGTATTTGATCAACTTTAGCATGGTTAGAACTGGTAAAGAATGGTTCCTTCAGTGATGTAGAACCTGGTCTATTTCTTGTAAACTTGGAATTATTTTCTAACACACCAGTCTTGAATTGCCGATATGTTCAGGTCACGACTATGACCCTCAAACCAGCACAGAAAGCAATAATGACTGTATGCTTTCCTCCAAACTTTTTAAAGTCCCCTGCCATTTTTCACACAGTTAGCCCCACAAGCCTACAGTGAGAAAAAGCATCAACTGGAGGAATGATACATCTCGTACTAGAAACATAGCAAAGGCAGAAGAGCCTGCCAAGACCAGTGGTCAGATCAGGGCAGGATGAAGGTGTGCTTGCAGACTGAACCCACTCAACCCTGAAGAAGGGAAAATGCTGGTTACAGTTAAAAACCAGACAAAGTTTGGACTATGGGATTTTTACCGCAAGTGATCCAATTTAGTAGGAATTTGTTGAAAAGTGCAGCAAATGAAGTGCACTTTGTTACTAAGCCATTTGTAGATGATTCAAACTTTACCAGGGAACAAATGTTTCAAAACATAAGCTTTGTTATATACAGTAAATCACATCAGAAAAGCTACAGTTCAATGGCTTTGCAAATAAGGAAGCCCTCCTTACCCAGGGAGATGGTGACCACAACATGATCGGCCAAAAGTTCTTTATCTTCTCCGTAAACCACACGTACCGGATACTGCTGAGAATCCTTGGAGTTAAAAGAGCCATTCCACTCAATCAGACGTACAACTGTGTTCAGCAAAATCTTGTCTTTAGGGAAGTCCTCCAGTATCTTGTCTACTAAGTGAAACATGTTTCTGTAACATCAAAAAAGTAAAAAGCTAGCAATCTGGCACTTAGTTTGATTTGGTGAACAAGCCCTGATATTCATTATTTTATGAAGTGTAATGTGTAGTGCATCTCTATTCATTCAATAAAGTGTTGAGATGTGAACTAAATTTTAGAGATTCAACACTAATGCTTATGTCTAAAACTATGGATGCCAAAGACAATACATTACAATTGATACCTTAGTGAATAAACTTGTTTTAGATAGAGGACGCCAATCCATACATTTAGTATCCCTCTCTATGGAGATGCTGTTAAAACAAAATCTCAAACCGAAAAGCCCCGATTCACTAAAAACCTAAAGAAAATGCCACCGCTGATGTTACAAACATGCACTATTTCTATCTAAGCACAGGAGCACGTGCTGTCAGCAGATAGCCTTTTGTCCATCAAGAGTACAAATAAATAATCTGCAATGCATGAGTTAATTAAGTAATTAAGAATAGAAGGAAGGATCAAAGCCCTACAATGGCAAAGTTGCCTTTCTCTGGTCCTCTGTGTGACTCCTATATTACTATTAATATACAATATGTTAATCTTAAGGTAAATACAGAAAGGGAGATCTACCCTTCAATATTGAGATCATCTCCAGAGCTATGTTCAAAATACTGCCATGAATCTAGAGCAATTGAGTTGAGGTCTGAAGCCCCGATGTCAATGAGAGTGTCCTTGGCCACCATGCTGAGCAGGCCTGGTGCCCACTTTCTGCTCTCTGGATCACCATCCATTTTCTCCAGTATTCCCTGGGCCTTCTCAGTGAAGTGCTCTCCCATGCTCTTCCCTGCACAGTTGCTGTACTTTTGGCGGATGATTTCTTCTCCTTCACTGTACACCCCTTCAGCAAAGTTGATGTCAATGTCGCTGCCAGTGTTGCTGTAAATTTTCCACCTCCCTTTCTTCTCTTGTACTTCATGCAGAAGCCCGTACTGTTTTGACAGGCGGAATACAGGATTTGATTCAGAGGCATCGTGGATGAACTGAGCGCCTGTGTCCACCCAGGTGTTCCCTGTTAAATACATGACCGAATGTGTTATATATAACTTCCAAAGTGTAACAGAATTGTCAATAAAACAGGAACACAAATTTTGTGAAGCCTGTGAATGCCAGACTTTTCTTGCTAATGCAAATTCATAACCCCATTTGGGTTTGGTGTTTGAAGATTATCTCGAATAAGATGATGGAAACCATTGACTGAAGGGACTACAGCAATTTTAGCAGTACAAATGTCAAGCAGAAATGAAAGCTCATCATAAGCAGAAATGAGCACGGTCCCATCCATTCCAAAAAGTCACATGTTGCAACAAAATTCACATTTGGCCTTAAAAAAATACAAGAGATGACTTCTATAATCTTACTTCCCTATTGCAGAAAGTACAAACCCTTCTCCTATTTATTTCTAGTAACATCCTTTATTTTGAATGTGTGCCCAAAACACAAGAATGTCACTTACCCAGATGAGCCTTGGCAACTCTGCCTCCTGGCTGAGCTGCAGCTTCCAAGAGATATACATCACTGAATCCACCCTGCTGGAGCTTGGTGGCCACCCTTATCCCCGCCAAGCCAGCCCCCACCACCACAATCCTTGGGTTCTTTTTCATGTTTATACAGCTGCAGGACAGAAGAACGGATAAGAACTTTTCACTTACTACCAGCACCAGGGTTTAAAGCAAAGACTAAATCTTGGCAGCAGAATTGTGAGCAATCATTGTGCCATGACAAAGATCCTCACAGTGCTCAAAGTCACAAAGCTACAGTGCCATCTGCAACTTCGCCTGTAACCCTGTAGTCTTCCTGCATATCCTGTGACAGAGCACATGAGCACAGACCTCTAAGCAAGCATCCAGTTACCTTCACCGATAGTCCTCTTTTACAGTCATATTGCAAGTAAAGATATACTGCTTACAAAACCTGAAAAATGGGTCTTAAGTAAATACGTGGTAGTGCCTCCTCTAGTTCTTTGGTAGATATACCTACCCATACATTGGTACCTAGGTTCATACAGTTCAAAGACAGAATTTTAGATCCCCAACACAGACAGGCTCAGCAGCATGTGTGAGAGGTAGCACACACATCCAGCTTACTTCTTCCAGTGACGTTTACAGCATGCATCAGCTTACAGCCTTTGTTTCAGCTCTTAGCTTGGGAAATGAAACAGCCAAAACACTATGTACTTTAAGTGACATGCATCACCACTAAAATAAACATTTGTGCATCACAGGTTTCACTTACTTTTAATCAAGTAAAATTTCATGGTTGTGTAACACTTTCTGTCTAGAACCAATACATTTCCATGCTCATCTAGAGAACACTAATTTACCTTGCGTATAAACCGTTCAAATCCTTTCCATTTCTTAACCATGCATGAGGAAAAAAGGGGCTACAGTACCTTTCTCACATAGCAGAACAGAGTGAAGGGAGAATCTGCAAGACAGCCTAGATATCCTGAAGCAGCTGCATAAATCTGCTAAGCTGCCCAAATGAGCTCATAAATACTGCAGAACATAAAATTAATGAGAACCTGAAGGATCAAAATTGTTCTACAGACCTCGCAAAAACTTAAAAGTCAAAGGTTAACTATGAAAGTCCAGCTGTAGATTACAACAGAATCTATAAGATGTGCTCTTCGCAGTGCCAACACAAGCACATTATTTGGGGACATTAATGCTCACTATACATTAAGTTAGCTATGATTCCTGTTGTCAAAAAGGGGAAAACATTAAAACTACTACCTACTTGAACTTAAAACTATTGAACCACTTTCAAAGTGAGAGCAGACAGGAATTCTCAACTGCACATATTTACCAAATATTCACCTCAGCAGAGACATAATAGGAATGTTCAGCAAAGTTTTAACAAATTTAAATCTTCACATTTTGTAAACTACAAAATTAGTTTGTATAACCTTCAGTACACAACATATGCATCAGTTAATAAAGGAGGTATATATTCTGTTACTTACTTTCAGACAAGTCTTTGTAGATTAGCAAACTGTGTCAGAAGCCTCCCTCATGTTGAATTGAAATGGAGTGCACTAGATATACTTCCTGTACTGGAGAGCTATAAACAGAGTTATAAACTCACTGTTTGAGCTGAGTCAGGGGTGTGGTTTAACAGGAGCTGTGTGGGAAACGTGGCAGGAGAGCTAGGGAGCTAGGGAGCTAGGCAGAGTGCATTTTCTTGCAGACTGTCCCACATTGCTAAATGCCCATTAAGATTATAAGAATAAAAACTTACATTTGTATAGTTCTTCAATGAAAATACATTTCATTGCCCGCAACTACTGCTGCACACTGTATTGTTGTACATTTGATAAATAAACTTTGATTTGATTTGAATAAACTTTGATTTACCTTTGACACCAGAAGGATTTTATCCAAAACCACTACTGGGAAGATAAGTATGACAAATGATCAAGTTTTTCCATGAGGCAGTGAGTAATAAACAACTGAGTCATAGCCCATTACAGGGGAAGTTACACATTCTGTAGATTACAGACTTAACAGTACAGGGAAAAAGTTTGCTCCTAAATGTTGTGACAGTCTAGGTTACATGGTGTTGGGGTGTATTCCTTTTTTCATCATAGAAGGAGGAAAACCAAGCAATGTAACTTGAATGGGGGGGTCAATCTAACCGTTAATTTAAATATTTAACAACTAATCGGGTTTTATGTAGGTGATCTGCGTTTTACGTTTTTATTGATCTGAGGATTTTCTAAAGCAGTTCTGAAATCGAGTATCCACAAATTCACAGGAAACAATTCAAAATTCAGTTTTTTATAGCCATTTCAGGATTCAACAGTGTAATTTTTGCCATGAGGCTCTGCGCATACAGAAAGGACAGAGAGTACCATACAGTATATTTTCTTCAGTCACAAGACAGGGGTTTTATTTCTCACTAAGACAGGGGTTCTTCTCCCCTTGACCTGGGGAAATGACCCCTGCTGTTTTTTTTGTTCCAGTTGAACTCTCTGTGATTTAACTGAACTCCTAAATTGACCTAGTAACAGAATTCATTTGAACTGTTTTCAGTTACTATCCAGATTTGAACTTTGCCTTTTAGTCTCATGCATAATGACGTTTAACTTCGAAGGATAAAAGTAAAGTGTGTAGGTGGGGAAAAAAAACAGTAGGTATTCCCACTTGCAGGAATGGGAACTCCAGAGTAGAAAGGGGAGAATAATTCCAGAGAGTGGTCAGGAATGTCCAAAAGTCACATCCCACTAAAACCCTCTTCCCTGTACCAAACCAATTCCATACAATCAGCTGTCTATAGCTGACAGTCATCAGCAGCACCATTCACTGGCTGCAGTGGATTGGGTTAGCATACAAATCTAGAAACTGTAAAAGCTATCAGACCTCCATTGAACACTCCTTAGGAATGGACACATGATCTCAGCAACATCATGAAAACCTGTAATTAAATCAAGTGTCTCTTAATTGATGCAGCTCTTCACACAGCAAGACAGCATGATGGCAATGGTTTATTAAGGTGTTTTCTATGACAATAAAAAATCAGTTAGAAAAGATTTAGCCCAAGGTCCAACTGTGGCTGAGGAGAGCACCAACCCAGCAGATTTTTTAGGTAACCAGTAAAACAGTCTAAATATGTGTGACAATTTGTGACTAATGATGAAGATGCACATTTTCTGCCATCTATTCATTTGAAATACTAGAAATATAGTTTTCCACACACTTTAGATCCCTATTTAAATTGAGTAATACTCATATACCAATGACTGATAAAATAGCAGATATATGCATAAATACCTAAAAATACTCTTCATAGTCCTTTGTTTATTTAAAAATGACATAGACAGAAAGGGGGATCTGGTGCCCAACTTCAAGTACACAGTTTCACTTCTTGTGAAATTTGTTTTTCTTGCGATTCTTCTTGCCAGCTGCCAGGGCTGCTCTCTCTGCCAGGATCTGCTTGTACTTCTTCTTATTGTAACTAGAAAAAAAAATGAAACAGGAATGACCAGAGACCGAGACCAGAGATGCGGGTGTCTACCGATCCAGAGAAGGGTTCTCAGTTCAAGTAGCCCTGCTGTTTTTTGTTTTACTTCTGTTACTTATGAAACTTTGTAGTTAAAAGGCAAGCTCTAAAATGTTTATGAGCTGAAAACAGTCTTATAGGAGTATTACTGAATTAACTGGAGTTCCTTAAAGGCTGAGCTATGTAGCTGAGAGTTCAGGTGGAAGAAGGACCAACAGGTATGCAGTTCTCCAGGACCAGGTCTGCAAACATCTGTATTAAATCTCCCCTTCATGTAATAAAGTTCTGTTTTAAAGATCAAAGCTTAAAAACACAGATGGAATCTACAGTAGTATTCATGCACGGAAAATAGTTTAAATAATTTATAAAACTTCACTGTCTAATCTTCATCCCCTAGCAAAAAAATGCACCATTCCATCCATAACACAGTAATAATTTAGAGACACCACATAGCTTAGACAGCACATTTTTAAACAGAAAAATAAGAATAATTGCTGAATAACCTTTAGATTAATTTCACATTTGTACTTTATAAATTGCACAACTGGCTGCAATACAAACCTTCTGAATTCAGCATCAGCAATTAATTCCTCAACAATAGTCCTCTTCCTCTGTTTCTTAGGGATCCGTGCATGATAGAAATCCACAGGGTCGTCCACTACTGTTCCAACCTGACACAGACATTTAAAACAGCCACTTAAAAAGATCAACACAATGACAACACTTCCGTGGTTTATAATGGAACCCATTTAAAACAGCCACAAAAAAATAAATGCTTATCAGAAACAGGCATTTAGCACACTGCACATGCATACTTTAAGTATTGGTGAATCATAATGAAAAAATTCAGAAACCCTAATTTTTCTCAATAAAGTTATTTTAAAACAAGTAATCATATATACGTTCCACTGTAGATTTAACTCATTAAAAGAAAGGACCTTAGGTTCTCGAACAGTCCTAAAAAAGATGCACACCTGGAAATACTTGGGGAATCCCTCCCGGTCATTCTTCTTGTAAAACCTTTTGGGATCCAGAGCTGATCTCATTTTCAGGGCTTTCAGGTCGTTCTTTAACTCCTCCGTCAGTTCAGGGGCCTTCATATTATACCAGCTGTCCCCTGTAGTCTTTGCTCTCTCCTCCTGATGAAATTTTAAGAAAACATAACATTACCTTAGCTAGCTTATGATTTTCAAAACCAAAAACTAGAACAGGCAGTAGGAGGCATTTCAATTAGAAGCCACTCACGAAAATGCAAATGACAAGAGCTTGTACTGCATCAGGGTTTGCATGTCTGACATGGCGCAGACTCGGGGAAACATCTCCACCACAGAACACTAGCTAATAACTTTAAAATGGACAGGCAGTTTGCCTGAAAAGCTGTAAAAGCCTGGTGATGTATAAGGCTGTGTTTTTCTGAACCTCTTCATTAAGGTAAAGGAAACCAAGAGAACACATCAGTATCAGGCATTTAAACCAAGTAAGTCAACAACGGCACAGTGGAAGATCCTCTCTTGACAGAATATGCAAATTCCATACAGTGCAGAATCAAACCCAGAACTCAAGAGCTGTAAGGCAGCAGTGCCTTTCATGCTACCAAGGTCTAAACCATCATTTCTATGCTGATGATACTCAATCCACTTTTATTTAATTGGTTTAAGGGGGTAATCTGCCCCTTTGCTTTCCTATTGTATTAAAACCCTTGGTGTAATTGCGTAATTCTGCTGTCTCCTCTTATTGTGTACTTTGCTCGTATTGTAAAACACTCTGAAAAGCCATTTTTAAAGGATCTATATAAAATAGTTTATATTACTGCTACTACTACTGTGGGTTCTGATTACTGACTATCATGACTATTACCAACCTGTTTGCAATGAAAAGAAAAACCCACCAACTAATGCAGTATTGACCTCTGTTGGCCACCACGTTGTCATTACAATTTAAGGCAATTTAACCAGTGATCTACCACAATATATACATTTTAAATACCAAATAGTATTATTTTTTTATTTATGCTGCTGTTTTTCATGCCGATTCCAGCCATAAGTAAATGTGGTATTTGACATAATTCCTAAATCTGGACTAAAATGAATAATTGACAAGTTGGAAATGCAATAATTGAGATTGAGACTGATGTCACAAACATAATTAAAAAGAAATATTTGTTAACATTATCACACAAGCAATATACTCTTAATACCAAGTAATACCAAGACAGAATGCACAACACAACTGACAGATCAACTGAAAATTTGCCTTAAACAGGTGTTAATTAACAAGAATAAAACAAACTGAAGAATAAAAACAAACCCGATAGAAAAAATAGTTACAAAGTGTCCAATAAAAGAAAACATCTTAGCTGAGGCATTTTGGGACAGCAGCACTTGCTTTCCAAACTGTGACAATTACAGAAGTATTTTTGGTATCTTATTTATGATTACAGTGCATTTCTTATTTCTTAAACCAAATCCTCAAACACCAGGAGAATCACTGCCTTAAGCCGGGTTGAAAAAGCAGTCTAGTGGTTAACCAGGATGGTTAATGTCATATATACAGTTCCTCATCTTTCCTATAGCAAACATGACCAGGTGTTTAGGCTACTTTGTGGCTTTAGGTGGATTTAATATTTTGGTAATATTTGACTTTTTCCAAAATCTGTAAGTATAAATCTCAAAGAATGCACTTAATTACAAATTTGTGAATGTAGATGCACAAACCTGGTCTGAAAACCACTGTTCTTCCAGAGCGATCAAAAACGGCACTGCTACTTTCCAATGTGCATTAATATTTAGTTTAAAAAGACAGAGATGCGGACCACTTTGATACAGTTGGATCTTTGGCAGTATCTGTATGGAACTGGAACATTGCTGTGCTCTGCGCACAATCAGAATCCTAATACTGTTTGAAGCTTGAGGTGTAGTTCTAATTTGGTTTAAGGCTTTCAAAGAAGTTTAAGTGTTCATATTCATTCTGTACAACATATCTCCAACCTGAGCATAAAAAAGACCTGTCTACTCACTCTGCGTTTCTTCTTCAGTTGGTCCTTTGACTCTAGGTATGGAGGTACAGCATCTTTCTTTTCAAAATCTGGAGTGATCACACTCTTCCTCAGTAGCTACAACCACAAAAGCAGGATGAAGGCCATTACCACTCTGATAGGGTAGCAAACATTTCAGATTATTTTGTCTACTCGCTCAAGTTTATATTGTCAACCCTAGAAATCTTTGGTTGCAGTCTGAACCTTCCTTTTACATGTAGTCTAATGCTGATGGACAATGGCACTCAAAGGCATGTCTCTAAAGCCTGTTGATCGCACACCACCATGACTGAGAAATTTAAAAGGAATGCTCCACAAGGTATGTTCAATTTAAGTGACAAAGTTCCCTTTTATAAATAACTATTCCTTAAAAAGTACATGATTCAGAAATCCTACCTTATGTGACTATGAGTTTTTGCTACTACTGAATTGTAGTGACCATATGGAAATGTAGTGACCATCCTATCACAGTAATTATTTGCTATAAAACCAGATTAAGTTTCAAGATACCTGTAATTTTTGGTTTCAGCAAATTGGCTGTTACAGATAAATACTGACTAATAAGAATACCTCAGCAAAATTAAATATTCTGTCAAAGGCCACTTTCTGGTCAGTATGAAAAAATAACATCAAGCATACTTTGAAGAACCAGTTTTCTTTTAATTAACTTTTAACAATAATTTAGACCGAATTGCTTCTAACTCCAAATGATCACTTCAGTAATAACAGCACCCTCTAAATGAATATCTCTAGTGCTACAGAGACCGTTTCAATAGCATGTCTGTATTAAAAACACATGCCTCCAGAAGTTCTCAATCCCTTATTTTGTGTCTTTCGGAATCTTTTAATTATAACCTTACATTTTGAGTTGAGGAAGATACTCACGGCCAAACTTGATGGGTGTGGTAAGTGAAACTAAACTTTCATTAAGCCACTACTTAAACAAAACTGCGAAATGGAGTTAATGTCCTCACAACATCATACTGGAAGCAGAGAATGTTGAAAAACAGAGAAGGGGTCCAGAAATGGTTGAAAAAAAGATTTTAACAAGATCAAGAAGCAGTTCAACAGCAGGGATGAATTATCCTTAGTTATTAAGACTTCAGCTGAGATAGGAAATGAAAGGCATTGGCAAGGGCTGAGAACCACACAGTTTTAATTCAGACATAACAACTTACCTCATCTTTTTTCTTCTTCTCCTTCAGTTTTTGCAGAGCACTAGGGCCACTCTTAATTTTCCCACCATCAAGACTGATGTACAGTCCCCCAGTTTGTTTCATATTCAGTCCTGGGTCAATGCTACTAGACAACTCTATCCTGTTAAAAGAAAATGATAGTATTTTACAAGACCTGTCAAATGTTAAAGATATTTACAATGCGCTATCTATTAATGATAGATTATGGCACATAATTAATAATAATTAATAACTCATATGTCCCATGTTCCCTATACAGAAAGCAAAGATTCACTTCTCCTTGGTTTATTGAGTTCACATGAAATGACTGACACATCTGCACTAGTCAGTAAAATAGGAACAATTTGTTTTCATCTTCCCCTTCAACACTACATGGTGCTACTTTTTTCTGTTGTACAAATTTCACTGTTAGGAAAATGAAGTATAAAATAAAACTCGGACAAACAGCGATATAGTGCTCTACTGCATATGGACACCTGATCATTCTTCACCTCACAAAGCAATATACCTTTTTACACCCTGAATAAAACTTTATCATCCTGCACCTCACAACTGGAAACCCACTGAAGCTAAGCTAATGGGAGACCTCCTGGGAAAGCTAAGGTTGCTACTGGAAGAGGACTTAGTTGGACCAGTAGGCAACACTCATTGCTAGTGCACTCCACTGCAGAAAAAGCACAATCCTTTCTAATAGATGTAAAACCAAGGTCCTGACTGTCTGGTCATCAAAACTCCCAGGGCATTTCTTAAAAACAGTAGGAGTGTCCAGGACAGCGCAATATGAGTGTAAAGATTATTTAAACTCCAGGCTATAAAAGCTGGAATCTTCAATCCAAAATCAAATGACACAGTATTTTAAGAATGTACAACAAACGACAAAATAAAAGCTTAAGATGTCCTGCAAAAAAGTAAAGTAATAAAAAGTGTTTATGACAGTTCATTTCAGGAATGAAAGCAGAAAGGTACTGTCACCAAGATGTGTAACATCATCCCAAAACATTCAGATAACGTGGTTGAAAAATAACCAACCTGCACTAATTGGCTTTGGGTACGTATGGCAACGTCAGCAGAAAGGAGGAAATGGATATGGTGTCCATCAATAGTTCAACATCTCCAGATTTACTTGTTCATTTAGGGTTTTTTATATGTATTAGTTTTCATATTTCTAAACTTAAATGTTTTTGTACTTCATGCATAATGCTTTTGTGAAAACAGTATGATAAAATCTGAATTTATTACTTAAAAAAGAAACCTATCCCAGGGGTCTAAAAGAATCTAAAGGTTTTCCATAACAGCTGAGTGGCGGGATCATACAAGAACATAACAGCTAAAGAAAAAGAAAGTGTACACTTCTTATACTCACTAATATTTTCAAGTAGGTATTTAGATACTTACAGGGGGGGCTTTTTACTTTTCAAAAGAATTGCAGTATCCTCATCTTCTTCATCAATAAATTCCTCAGCATCTTTACCCTCATCTGCTTCTTCGTCACTGTATTCCTCCTCCTCCTCTTCGCTCTCTCTTGTTTCACATATACCTTTGGTATCCAAGTAATACTTTTTATCAGGCTGCAGTCCAGGCTGAGTGTCTATAACAAACAGTCCATCATCCAGAGGGGATTTAGATAGGGCTGCCTGGTTCTCTCCTTGAGAAACTTCATCTTCATCATCATCATCATCACCAGAAGCAAAATCTAGCTCCTTGCTCTCATCGCCATCATTCTCATCGTCACTACTCAGCAGCAAACTGATGAACTGTGATTCCTGCGGTGCAGTGCTGCACTGTCCACTTGAGTCTTTCTTCCCTTCCACAGGATCCAGTTTTGCAACAGACCCTCTCTTCGCCATGGTCTTTTCCATCTCACAAATTGAGGACTCACTGAGGGCCACGTCCATGGTTTCTTCCCCTTCAGTCTCTTCAATGTTGGTTTTAGATGTGGTCAGCTCTTCAGATGGACAGACGGGCTGGGAGCCAAGAAGGCTAGAACTCTGGGAGTCCTTGGATATTTCTGGGAGGGAGCTCTCAGGCTGCAGCCTCTTTTCGCTCTCTTTGGGAACAGCAGCAGGAGACTGAAAGGTCTTTGCCCTTTCTTCAGCAATGGCCTCCAAGGGTGACGCTGCATGGCGACTGCTCCCTGATCCTGTGCGAGAGCTGTTGGCGAACTTGGTCGCCACTTCCTGTTTTGCATCATTCTTTTGACTCGGAGGACCAGTGCAAGTTAGGGAATCTTCTGATTCCGTATCCGATATAATGGTTACCTCTTCTGTGGTTTTGGATTCAGCCTGACTATAGGTGAACCTGTCTTGACTTCCGATAGGCCCAGGGACAGCCTTGTTGCACCCACTACTCTGTGACTCGCTGACAGACTGAGTTTTTGCTCTGAGTGCTCGTCTGCTGGAGCTAGATAACGGAGAAGCACTGGAAGCTTCAGCCTTCTTCTTAGGAACTGTGGAGGCTGGAACAGTGGTCCTCTCCTGCCTTTTTCTTGCCGACCTACGGACTGCAGAGCCCTGAAGACTTGATAAACTGGTGGCATGGGTCTCAGCTTCCGAAGGCTCCTTGTCCTCTGTCTGAGACTTGGATGGAGTGCAAGGAGGAGCTGCGCAACTCCGGCTCCTTGTTGATCTTTGCGCGCCAAAAGCTCGCGCTCCAGACATATCTGAACAACAGGATTCTGCCTCTGAATTTTCAGTTTCTGAATTTGCAAGCTTAGTCACGGGCTTGTGCAGTGGTGCCATTCTGCCTCTTAGGCTCCTGGATGTTCTACGACCAGCTGTGGAAATAGAAGAAGAGCACGACTCTGCCTCAGAGCCGCCATCATCATCATCATCATCATCATCATCTGCCCTCAAGGCAGATTTAGCTCGGGCCACAGCCGGAGTCCTCCGGCTGCGAGTTACACGTCCACTGGACACATTGGAACAGCAGGACTCTGCCTCGGAAATCTCAACCTCATTCAAGGATTCCACCTGCTGTACAGTCCTGGTCTGCCGGCTTGTTGATCTCGTGATCCTCTTGACAGCTGAGCTCTGAACCTCCTCTGTGCGAGTGGTAGAATCCATGTCTTCGGCCTCTTCGTGTTGCAAGTCACAGGCATCCTCTGAGTGCGACTCAGTTTTTGTCGCTGTGGTTCTTCTGGTCCTAGTAAGAACACGAGTCGGGGAGGAATCCTGTACAAGAAGGATCAGATTTAGATTTCAGGACGCAAGGACACTGAAGCAGAGAAAGTTGATGACAAGTCTTGGTTGGAACTTCAAAAGACTTTTAAATTAAAACAAAATATCAGGCATATGAAATTAAAAACACCTTTGATTGCTTATCAGAAAAAATGAAACACTGGGACAAAGACAAAAAGATATCTTCTAAGTTATGGACAGTAGCAGGTGTGAGCTTGAGAGTTCTAAATCTCGAATACCAACTTTTACAACTCATGAACACTAGGGATGTACATTTTTTATATTTCCAGTCAGTTTTATGCAAAAAAAGTCTGGTTTACAAATTGGTATTCATATTTTTAAGAGATAGGAATACCAATGCTGTTCACTTTGTTTTCAAGGACCATGCTGCAAAGCACCTATTTGCAAAAAAATAACTTGTTCAGCTCTGGATAGACACAGCTGCTCTTAAAGTGATCAATAAGTCAGGTGTCTTACATTATTTATTTGAAAAAACATGTAAACACGGACAGCTACTTTACAGTCCAAAAAATACATTTTATTGACACACTTAAAATAGAATGAAGGAGACTGTGGCTGAGACACACCATTGTAAATTGATCTTTTATCAAGGTTGAAAAACCTGGTGTTTTTTTTTTATATGGAAGGTGTTTCAATTGTCCTTGTAGAAATTTTGATCAATGTTAAGTTTTTGTACGGTTAGTGAAAAAAGCTTTATTAATGGGCATGATTAGGTAGGAAAAAAAGGTCATTTATGTATGTCAAGATATTGTAATCATTCTATTTTGATTTTGTTACAAAAGCCTTTAAATCTACCAATGTTTAATCTGATTAAAGTATAACTGTATAACTACATACAGTTTTAAGCAAATGTTTGGGCACCCCTGGCCAAATTACGTTTTGTTGATTTTCTAAGTGAAAAAGTGAAGAACTAACCACAACCTCTGCAGCAAACCAACTTAAACCTGACATGTTTCTGCAAAGATTAATGCAGTTATTATTTATTTGCTCAGATTTAACAGATTGAAAAAGATATTACAGTAAATGTGGCATCTGCAACAGTTGATCCACTACTGTTATTTTGTGAGGTCTCAGAGCTTAATTGACTCATTAGGCCTTAATCTAAGTCAGGTGATGACAATTCCAGAGCTTCATAGATTCTTTGACTCTTCCAACCTCTCAGGGTGTTGTGCTTATACTCAACAACCATGGACTCCTCTAAGCAGCTGACTGAGGATCAGAAAATAAAGATAATTGACTCTTGCAAAGCAGGGAAAGGCTATAAGAAGATATCTAAATGCTTCCTGCTTGCAATTTCCACTATCCGAAATGTCATTAAGAAATGGAAGTTAAGGGGAACTGTTGAAGTCAAGATAAGAAAACCAAGAAAAATATCTGATAGAACTCCTCGTAGACTGGCCAGAAATGCAAAGCAAAACCCATATATCACTGCTAAGGACCTGCAGGAACTTTAGCTGGCACAAGACTAGTGGTTCACCTGTCCACTGTGTACCATTGCTTGCACAATCATGATCTGCATGGAAGAGTCATCAGAAGGAAACCTTACCTGTGATCTCATCACAAAAGTCAACGTCTGAAGTATGCACAGATAAGCCAGAGGCATTTTGGAACCAAAATGCTGTGGTCTGATGAAGTAAAAATTGAACTCTTTTGCTACAATCAACAAAGTTACAATTGGAGGAAAAAAAGGAGAAGCATTTGAAGAAAAGAACACCTTGCCAACTGTTAAGCATGGAGGTGGATCTATTATGCTTTGGGGTTGTGTGGCAGGCAGTGGTACAGGAAATATTGTGCGAGTAGAGGGAAGAATGGATTCTACTATCTACAAATCCTGGAATCTAATGTCGCACAGTCAGTGAAGAAACTGAAGCTCAGAAGAGGTTAGATATTACAACAAGACAATGATCAAAACATACCTTATAATCAACCATGAACTACTTCAAGAAACAAAAGATTAAAGTTTTGGAATGGCCTTCACAGTCCCCAGACTTGAATATTATTGAAAATCTGTGGGTAGATCTGAAACATGCAGTGCAGGCAAGACGACCTAAGAATACTCCTGAACTAGAAGCGTTGTGCAAGGAAGACTGGGACAAAATTCCTAAAGCAAGAACAGAAAGATTGTTAGCTGGCTACAAGAAACGTTTGGAGGCTGTGATTTCTGTCAAAAGGTGTGTTACTAAGTACTGACTGATAGGGTGCCCAAACTTTTGCACATGCCACATTTACCATTTTATTTATTGCAATCTGTTGAATTCAGCAAATAGTAACTGTGCATTAAAATTTGAAGAAATATGTCAAGTTTAAGTTTGCAGAAGTTGTGTTAACTTCTTTTCACTTAGAAAATCAGCAAAACATGTAAGTTGGCCAGGGGTGCCTAAACCTTTGCATACAACTTTATACTCTATAAGTATTAGAGATAAGGTCACTTTATTAGCCATATACAATTTCTTGCATTAGGAATTTGTTTTTTTGCATACCCCAGCTTGCTCTCCATGAGAACCACAGGCACACAGACCAGGGAGAGAGAAGCTTGTAAAGTGTGTCTGAGAGACTGATGAGGCAAAGCATGACATGAAAATTGCCATGTCATCTAAATATTTTTCATGTTTCCAGCTTAGGCACTGTAGCTCTATGGGCAAATTATTTTTCAAGGCATTCAACTGTTCAGAAGATTGAGGACTGTACTGACCATATCGCCTTAAGTACGTATAGCTGCCGGCTAACTCGTTCACCTCGGGTTTTGCCATTTTTCTTCGCTTACAACTGTTCTGTATCCAACAGTAATTCAAGTGGCTTTTCTGTATTAATCTGTTTTCGTAAAATTCAATGTTAAATTATTTGCTTTGTAGTTTCCAGCAAAAATGCAATTTCAGCAAAACTGCTGAGTTTAATGTATTATATCGACCCATCTACACCTTAAAAAGCCAGTGACTGGCAATGTGACTTTTTTCCCAAGTCGCAAATCAAGCAATCACCATGTGCTTTCGTTCACTTATCTGTGCTTAGCAAAGATTTCTCTAGGTTTCACTGAATATCTGAACTTTAGTTGCCATTTTAATTTAGCTTATAGTTTATGTAATTTCAACCTAATATGTGATACTGTAACATTGTCAAAATTATGTGATTTTATTTTTAACGCTGAGACAACACAGCCACGTTAATCAGTAATTTCTCCAAGCACAGTAAAAGCATCTAGGGATGCAATCATCTGAAACAAACACTGGCCAAACAACCACACTCATATCAATAACAATAACAATACTACCGTTTTAAGAGATTTTTCTGCTTTGGTCCTGTCTGGAGACTCCACGCTTGCTCCTCTTCTAGTAGCAACCATGTTGCTTTCTCACTCAACACCTTCTAAACCAACTCCAACTTCCGTTCGAAAGTAAAGGGACAAGACTCGACCAATCTACTTAGCGCAAAGATGATGAACTCAGATGGAGTCGATAGCGCTGAATACTTCTTAAAGTGATATGCAACAGTTTTCTCAAGTCAGACGCTAATTTCTGCTGCTAAGTTATGTAAATACTGTAACATTCCTGCTTTTTACCTTTAATTCAAGAAATGTAATTTAAAATGGCCCTGAGAACCGATTCACTTTCCCCGTTAAAATATTTCAAATACTAAATAGAAAAGCTGAGCTTTTTACGGCACTTCCCGGCGCAAAGTTTTTCATCCTCTCATGATTAAAAATTCTCTCTCAAAACCCGTTTTGCTCGCATTTCAGACCTGTACTTTACCAATTTATGTGTATACTGAAAATGGAAAAATAGTGTATTTTTTATTGTTAAAAATGAGATGCGTTGGTTGCTTCAAACCGGGCATACCTAACTGTTCCAAGAAATTCAAATAATAAAAACTAGTTTGCGGTAGTGGACAAAAAATGGGAATACATGAGTAAATGAGGGACCAAGTACAGTACATCAATTAAAATCTTCCACAAGGCGTGATTTATGTGTTTTTTTAAGCAAACATCCCAGCACGCTTAGGGTCATATATAAAAATACCGGACTGATCAATGACTATCACCAGCATGGCTTTATGAGCATACCACAGTGACTATAAGAGAGATATGTTTTGCGGTACATTTGGCAGAAGATTCACTAAGACAACTCAACTTCCTGAAGTTTCACGAACAAGGTTGTCTAAGGTAATATCAGCAAAGGGGAGCCGCGCATACACCAGGGTCATGTTTTTGGTTTATTAATTTGAAGTGAAAGATAAGTAACTGCAGATCAAGTGCCTCCAAATTTCAGTCTAGGGCAGGAGCAGGCTGTTTAATTAAAAACGATCTGCAGAGAACTTCACAGAGCAGGATACCACAGTCAGGTTGCAAAAGCATCATTAAACAGTTATTAATAATTTACCTTAAGTTAATAATCACAGAATTTATTAATGATTATTAATCAGACAGATATTTGCCCTTAATACTTTAATAATGTATAATGTACTTGTTAATGCAATCACAATTGTGATCTGCAACCCCTAAAATAAGTTTCTGAAATGTTAAAACCTCAAACAGGGGTTTCGGAATGTGCTTTTAAATAGCAAATTGTAAATGTAATATACAGTAATCATTTAAGGGATATAGACAAACACAGTACTCCCTGTGATGCTTTCAGATAAGTTTTAAAATCCCCTCTGAACTGATATGTAGAAATGGAACATTGTTTTTAAATCTTAATACGTTGCTTTCCACAAGTGTGCAAAACTCTGCTATCCAATTAATATTGTGTGTATTGTAACTATAGATACCTTAAAGCACCATATAGAAAGTCTTAATTCACGTGAATGGTGATTTTAAATGTTCATGTAATCATGTATGAAGTCCCCTGTTACCCTAAAAAGTCACATGGTTGAGCTAGAAATTTCATGTACAAAATGCAAGAGCACTGTATGGGATATTTGACCGTCACATACAGTATAAGAAGTAGTTCTCTGAAGTTCTTCTTGGTAACTTAAATGCCATTTTAAAATAAACATTTGTAATGGTATATACTATTTTCAAAGGTTAATTTGATAATACTGTATTACAAGCCATATACAGTTTAACAGCACACCTTTAAAATGTATATTTTGACCAATCATTAACCTTTTAGCCCTTTGTTGTTTCCTAGGAAACTGCATGCAAAAAAGACCTCGTTCACCGAAATGGAAAACAAAACTTACAATTATTAATTTCAACAAATACATCAAATCAATAATTAATTTGGCACATTTTCACAATTGAAACTTCTGAAGTTTATAATAAAAAAAAACTGCTTATCCTTAACCCTCTAATCTGTTTAAAGCAGTAAAACTTATACAGACTTGTCATGCAGGGCCTTACACATTACAGGTGTGGTACAAAAGAGCAGAAACACAAAAAAATATCACTGCACAAGAAAACGGTTTTATAATTTATTATCATAAATTAAAAACCTGATATACAGAAAAAAGAATATATTAATTCAACAAACAAGAATGTAAACCTTAACTATACAGTACTAAAGACACATACTCAAGACCTTCAAATGGGTTATCTGATGTAAATCCATTTTGGACCCCATGGATTTAAAGCTGCCAGAAATAAAGGCATCCCATCCTGCGTACAAATCCAGGTTTTTCACTGCCAAGATGTATCACTATTGTCCATTTTGGCACTTGCCAGTACATCCAGGTATTCACTATGATGTAATTTAATAAGCTGCAATTGAATAAATCACAGAATATCAGTTTAATTACTCTGCTGGACCCTGATTACACCTTTCAAAAATTCACCACAGGGGTATGCTAGATGAAAACATTAATACAAATAAAATCCTCATGCTCATTTCAGCATTTTTATGCAGGATATTTATTCTGCTAAATATTCATATTCTAAAAAGATGAGCGTTGCGTTTGTATCATCCAGAATGCACTTTCACTGGGCATAATCAAGTCTGCCAAAGTGCATCTTGTATAAATTCTAAACTCAAACATAATATTGCTTGAAAAGGTTAGTGAGCAGACCACATCCAATGCAAGAACCCTTTTCCTCCATATTCTTTTGTCATTTTACTCAAAAACAGTTAATGTAAGCAACTGCTGTGAGTAAAACAAAGACATTAAAATCTTCTACCAAGTCACTAAAAAGAGCTTTGAAGTGAGAAAGGGAATTTTACAAGCCAAATTGTAGAAATAAATACACTTTAAGAAATGCGAAATTCTGTAAAACATCACAGGTTTAAATACAACTGAAATCTTCCTGAAACCTGTACAGTTTTTCTAAATGTCAGTCCTTGGCCAATTTACATGTACATTGTGATCACTGCTTCTGTATGCAAGAACAAGGAGAACATACCTTCTCGGGGCCCTGAGCTCAATGATCTCCCCAGATCAGCTCCATTATTTTAAGATACTGCAACAACAGTTTTTATTACCTTCTGAAAGCCCTTCCATTTCAATTACAAGAGTGAAAATGCAATATTTAACACAGTCCAACACTAAAAGAAATTAATTATTCTCAATATCAAGAATATTATTCTAAATACTGATAAGCTTTGTCAACCCAGTGAAGTTCTTCAGAATCAGCAATGGAACATTAACCAGTGGAGAAACTACAGAAGAACATTCAGAATTCAGAATTGAGAACAGGAGGCACTTTACACAAAGGGTTATGGGGGTATGGAACAAGTTATTCAGACATGTTGCTAAACTCAATACTCTGGTTTTGAGTTTACAGCTTCTATTTCCCAAATAGGGCTAGATGGGCCAAATGGCCTCCTCTCTTTAGCAACAATATATGTTATGATTCTTGAAGAATGCCAAGTACTACTGCTTAGTACAGCTTGGTTTCAAACAACTAGAATCTTTATTACTCAAAAGCATTTAAGCTCAGAGTGGAAGCAGCACAGTAGTAAACAGAGGTACAGAGACGAAGTGGAGGCACTTTTGATTTGATTTTTTTTTTTGCTTAAAAAGCCTCCAAATCAAACAAATCACATGCAAAGAGCCACTTTAAAAGGGTATCTTTTTAAAAATAAGTTTACCAATCTGGTTTAACTAATTGTAAGAAACACCTCAAGAACTATAGCTTGAAGTGTGGTCAGTGTTGCTTCTTTTGGCCTGAACAAGGTAGCCCTTTGATTTTATGATCCCTCTGCTTTTGACGATGACAGAATAGCGCAAAACCCACTCCAGCGACCAGTCGGCTACCAGGAGCTCCTTCACGCTTTCCTGCACAGCTGCTTGGAAGCTTGTGGCAGAAATCAGCTCTAAGGGGAACAAGGTACAAAAACAAATTTGAATGCAGATTCAGTTCAATACAGTAAAGTTAACATATTTGCAAACATACTTCCAGGGTGTTGGTATATCAGGCAAAGGATGATCTTTTCCCAACTGTACAAAGTATTCATATCTTATAAAGTGTAATTCAAAACCCAAAATTTGACATGGAACATGCCCAAATGTACAGTGCCTTCAGAAAATACTCACCCAAACCCCCCCATTTTTGAAGATGTTCCGATCACAATTTTTCATTTGCTAAACTTTCGCAGGAATTACATTAGGTATTCTGTATCAGCTATGCACATTTGGATTTAGAAATTTTCACTCATTCTTCCTAGAGATTTGCTCAAGCTCTGTTAAACTGGATGGGCACTTCTCACCTTTGGGGTCATTGTGGGTGAGTAGCTGGATGTCACACTCCTTTGCGAACGCGGTCAGGTCTGGAGGCATCACACAGCAAGAGGCCAAGTTCACCTGATTGCTGCTGGGCTTTACCTAAAGAAGGAAAAAAGTGCATCACTCCACCTCAATAAGAGTGCATTTAAAAGTATGGCAATAAGCTTGAGGTCTTTACATGTCACCTCTCCAAAAACTAAAATACCTTTATTTCATACAAGGTCTAAAGTAGCCCCCTGGATTGATCTGTACCATTTAAGGGTTTATATACTCGGATCAAATTTCCTCTTAATCACTTCTGTAGTTCCTTTTAACCCATATATGAGAATCCTCCAAGACCAGGAAGCTCATTTCTAAGTCAACAATATCCCTTGTGTGGTACGGAGACCAATATGCAGCACCACATTGTTCATTCAAAAGGCAGATCTCATGTCCAACCTCAGGTAGACAACATCACCATCTTAGCCCACCCACGTCAGCAGCTGTAATCATCCAAGTGCCGTTTACTTTACAGTTACTAGCTCACGTGAAGTTAAGACTTGCATTCCTTGCATCACAAATTTCATTTTACACACTGCTCTATATACCAAATTGAAGGTCTACAACCCCATTTTCAGAATATGGTGATGCCATTTCCTCAAAACTGTTCTGTAAGAAACCTGGTATTATAGCCTGAATTGTATTTGTAAAATTCAGGCATCCTCCCCCCATCACACCCATTAATATGAACTCAAATCATACCACACAAAATGTTTCACTGGGTTAATTTAACTTCCATATCTTCATAATGTACTGCAATTCCCTACACTATCTACAAATTAAAGATGTAGTTCTTTTTTCAAATTGAATCTATCAAGAGCTCCTACCAATCTTTGGCACAATTATTTTCAGTTTACCACTGCTAAATCCTGGAACAATCTGCAGAGTGAGTTGAAACTAGTCACTTTCACAGCTGAGCCTCATTTCAGTTGCATGATTAAATTGCCACGTCCTGTTAGGAGATGACCAATTAATACAATGTAATGAACCTTTTATCACTATTATGCCTTCTGTTCAATAATGTATTGTGATCTTTAGTCAGGACTTTGACAAAAGAGAAATCATTCTCAAATGACTTATCTTGTTAAAGATTATTGTTTTTTGTTATGCGACTTTAAATCATGAATAGTTTACTAACAGTTTAATTAAATGTTCAGGGAAGGTGATCAGCAAACAAACTGAGGCTATGTTCTGGACTTGTAAAGTCATTAACTTTGCATACCCTCATTTATATCCATCTATGAAGTGCGTAAATTTATTACGTATGCAACAATCGGTGATTTGTGAAGGACATTTTCTTTAAAAGGCGCTATATAAAAATATTGATTCACCAACTACAATTAGTCGATTCACTAAGTTTATGGTGCAGTCTGATATTTTTCAAGCCAACCACTATTTTTAAAACAATCAGCTGAAGAAGATTTAAAAGAACCATGAAAGGAAAGGACTGAAAAAGTATTCAAAATATCAGTTTAAGCAATCTCAGAAATTAAGAGCAACATGCTCATGTATGTAAGCTGGATCAAGTGCTAGATCCATATACACCACAATTAGACACATGGGAAGATAAAAATTAAATATCTTAAAGAATTCTACGGATACTTCCAAATTAGGCACTATGCAAATAGTTGGGTAAAACAACCAAATACAGAGCAAGGTAAAAAATTGCTTGATTGTTTTATAGCTTCTTATTAGCAATGAAATCAGAAGAAAACTATAATAACACTAAAAATATTAATAGCATATGCATTAGCATTAAGCATTAAGAGCATATGCAGATTTCAACAAAGCTCCACCAGTTTTTCAGTTGGAAGAACCTGACTCGTCTTTTATCACTCCTAAAATTCAAACAAACAAAAAGGAAGCAGTTCACAATATTTGAGTCTATGAGGAAAGCAAGTAGCAACTAATTTACACGTTATTTTTGGGCATGACCCTGAATATAACTATATTGGAAATCCATACATCCCCGTAATAACATAGTAAACCTAGAAATACATTTGAATTCTGTTATATATTTGAGTAATGTTACTTTTGACTACTTGGAAATTCCAAGTAGCAAGAAATTCTTTCAGCTGCTAGTAAGAAAACTATCAAAAGAAAATGGTTTACTAAAGAACCCCAAACATCAGAACAATGGATCACCTTTTCTCTTGGGTTACAGGCAGAGATGTTTAGCAAATACTGACAAGCCTAGACAGGGTTTGTTCTGTGAAAGAAGATAAAGCACTTTTTTGTCTGAATTTTGGGTTGTTCTGTTTTTTTCTGACTGTATTTTTATATGTAACTTCCCATCTACACTAGCATAATGTACATTGTTAATAATATAAAAAATAATCATTGTAAAATTAAAGATTAAAGCAATAAATTGTTTTTTTATGTGTTTTATTTGTAAATCTTTTCCTTGTTAAACAAAAAGTTCAAAACAATTTGGCTCATAACAGGTGAAGTGGGTGAGGCTTATGGCCTTGTTATAGCATTGCAGTCATTACCTGTGCCCATGTGTACAGCTGCTCAAGAAGAGCTTTGTCCAAGTCAGAGGTGCCAATGGCAGCGATCTTCTGGCTCTGGACTAACCTCTCCAGTTCCTCCCAGAGAGGCTGCAGGTGTTCCAGGGACAGGCTGTCTCCCTCCAGGAGTGGAGGTGGGGCAATGATCACAGAGTCCAGCTGGGCCACCCCCAGGGCTGAGCAGGCTGCCAACATGACATAAAAACTCAAAGCTCTTCTTCGGCACTTTTTGCAAGTCAATGGTTGCCAATGCTGGTCCTTGTGGGCAATATCCTGCTGGTTTTCATTCCAGCCAAGCTTATTTACCTAACTGAAGCTGTTAACATGGAATGGAACAATGTATCTAGTTTTTCTTTAACTTTCAGCATGGAGTAACCCTTTACCTATTCCTAAACCTGTTCCTAATCATATTACATCAATTGGGTAACAGTACTTAGCTGGAAAAAAACAACACTTATGCAGGTCTCCAGGACCATGATTACCTGTTATAGGTGACTGTACAACACCTTCAATCAGAGGTACATAAACTTGGTAATTCTTGCAGGTTTCCTTCCAACTGTTAATGACCGAAGCCAGCCAGTTAGGAGCTTAAACTGGACCAGTTTAACAACTGCTCACGGTTCTTTAGGTGCTGCTGCCTTAAAGAGACCTAGAAAACCTGCAGACACACTGGCCCTTGAGAACTATGACTGACCTGCTTTATATCCAAAGCAGCACGTAATTAAACATTTTCTAGTTTTCCAATTACATTAATGAATGAAGATTAAGCAACAGAGTTTTAACCGAAAGAAACATCAGATCACATTCTGAGGTCTTTAATGGAGCAGACATCAAAGAATGCCAATGTGGACAACTAATGGGGTCAGCATTAGAGAATTATTATAAACTCACTACAGTATTATACGTAATACTATTTATTAAGAGTTTGAACATATTTTAACTTAGACAGAATAGACATGTTCTTTCATGCTGCACTTACCCATTTCTACTGCATCCCTGATGCAGGAACAGTTTGACCCACTGAGAAAAAGCTTCACTGCAAGTAAGGACATATTGAAGAGATCAGACTAACAAGTTTCCAGAAAGTAGAAAATAAAACACTCCAACCATCTAAAATTAAGTGTAGAACATTAACACACTGAACATTCAAAATACAGCACTGATGCAGATGTGAATTAATGATTTACCATTTCAACAAAATATGTGCAAGAATAAACAAACATTATATTGTAAAGTAGTTCAGGTGGGTAGCTGCATCAGCATGCGTAGGCTGCTAAGGAACAAGTAATAGGTTTATTCCATACTGAAAAGAGAAGAAAGAAAACACAATGGCTCCACAGCCGAAATAGTGTTTTCTTTCTTCTTTTTTCAGAATGTAATTAACATATTACTTGCTCCTTATATAGTAAAGAATGTGCAAATGAATGTACTTTTACTAAAATGTTACTCTACAATTCCTTTGTAAACTATGCGGTTTATTAAAAGGAATTCTTATAAACTATTTATTTAAATTGAAGCATGATTTTCTATTACAATGCAAGACACAAGTTCCTGAGGGAATATAAAAAGTGGTAACAAAAATTACCCTTAGAGGTAACGGTTTCTATACCATTACAGAACCAACCAGTACCATACTAAAACACAACCTTTGGGCTTGGCATGATACAAATAGCCATTTCTTTGCTCCATTTTGAAAAATATTCCAAGGCTCCTATAATCCAGGAAATCCAGGACATGGTTCTCCATTACTTTGGATTAACTGAGCTCTAAATGACTTTAGTCAAAATAAAAACAGGTTCTTAGCCTTGAACTACGAAGGCATTTTACCTGAAACCTTCAGTTCCTCCCTTTCTTCAGGAGTGATAGCCTCTGTTGGTTGGGTCAATGTACAGTTCAGCGTGTCAGGCAATTCCTAAAAAAAAAAAAAATACAAATAAGACCATTTTATTTTACAAAAACTACTCACCATTGGCTACAAATTTGGAATACAGGACTATGGAAAATTTGTGTTGTTTTGTTGGGAAAAAAAGCTCTATAATTCCACCTTTCCATTATCTAATTGGTTTACGCAGTGGGGGAGCAGAAGCCTATTCCAGCAAGCAAAGGCATAAATCAGGATACAGTGCCTTGCGAAAGTATTCGGCCCCCTTGAACTTTTCAACCTTTTGCCACATTTCAGGCTTCAAACATAAAGATATAAATTTTTTATTTTATG